ATTCGTTTATGCGCCGCCTGTTCACTGGAGCGCTTCAACGACTAACTAAGTGACATGGGTATTATGAGCCGGGACCGAAAGATCGACATTGGAAACAATGGCTTCCCGTTCTCTACCCGAGGCATCATTGGAGAGGAGTTTAACATGATTTGCACGGATCGATCGAATACGCGGGTGGCCTGCATGAGGTTGGTTATTTGGTTGATCATAGTCATCGGGACTCGTGCAGGGGACCTTTGAGATGCGGAGTATCGTCCCAGCTACGCATGAACAAATTATATAAAGACAGTCACTTGCCATGTATACTGTTATTTTAGACGACAAGATATAGGACCTGTCCTGACTTACCACGGGTCGAGTATATTGAATCTGAACCCTACTCTTCGTCTTAAGACACGTCCAATATGCGTGTCGTTACGCTCCTCGCAACGGCACTCTCAGCATCTTTTGTTGAAGCCATCCCTACCGACAGCCCCAGATCCGCGAACAACAAATATGTCGGTTACCTCATTTCCACGTTTAGTGATCCGACCCCTCAAGTCCAATGGCATCTGTCAGACGGCAACTCGGCTTCAAGCTTTAACTTTCTCAATGGAGGAAAGCCCGTCTTGAGCTCAAATGTTGGAACCAAGGGCGTCAGGGACATCTTTCTCACGACAAATACTGCCCGCTCCGAGTACTTTACTATTGCCACTGGTAGGTTACTAAAACACCTTGAGTAGGCACATTACTAACAGGTTATGCCAAAGATCTGGACATTAATGCTCCAGGATTCTCATGGGATCTTGTCACACGCAACGGAAGCCGGGGCCTTGTTGTGTGGTCTTCGAAAGACCTCATCAGTTGGTCCAAGCCTTCACTCAGAATGTAAGATAGAAGATGCTTCGTTAACATGCGAGATCTCACTAATTCTGAACAGTGTAGAGTCTGACACGGCTGGCATGGCCTGGGCACCTTCTGTAGTCTGGGATGATCCTACAAACCAGTACTATGTCTTTTGGGCAGCCAGGCACTATGCAGCTTCTGACACGGAGCATCAAGGCACCGCAACTCTCGATCGCATTCGCTATGCTACAACCAAAGACTTCAAGACTTTCAGTGCACCGAAGGATTACCATGCCCCCGAGGACACTGGCCTCATCGATCAGGAGTTTCTATCTCTAGGCAAGCCGGGGCATTTCGCACGTTTCCTCAAGAACGAGACCGTCAACAAAGTGTATCAGGAGACCACAACGACCGGTCTTTTTGGAAATTGGACCCGCGTTCCAGGCTACGTCCGACCCGAATCGCCTCTTGAAGGCCCAGGTGCATTTGCTGATCTTCGCACACCTGGACTATATCATCTTCTGCTCGATGATTACACTCAGTATATCCCTTTCCAGGCTTCCAACATTCTTTCTCCAAACTGGGAGAAGTCAGACTTTCCCAACTTTCCCAAAGGACTGAAGCATGGCTCCGTGACGCCCCTTACGAAGAATGAGTATGACGCTGTAGCTGCTAAGTTCGGTAAATAAGCTCCTTCCATTGGCTTTTCGAGATCGCCACAATTGAGGTAACAGTGGATCATCTTGTTCGTCTTATGAAGCTGTCTCGTATTTTGACAGATCAGAGTATCAGACAAGACAACCCAGGCTGGAACAGGTAGTCAAATGGAGATAAGATATATTCATGCTAGAGACTTTGGTGTCTATGTCTGTATAAGTAGCGCCAACCATAAATCCCTATGTATTGCCTCCTTATCTGACTTTGCTCTCGGTCCAACCTTTACAGTCTCCCCCAGAAAGCAATCTATCAGTGTTGCACATTCCATTCCTCGATATCTCATCTTTGTGAAACAAATACAGCTTTCCTAAAGTAACTCGCAAGATGTAATTGTGTCAATAAGGCCATGGGGATGTGATTTGCTCGCCACCTGAGTCAGCGAAGAGGCAGAACACTGAAGCACGATGATGCGATTGTGTTTAATTGGGTATCTGTGGCTTAAATATACCCTGTTAGTGCTTAGAAACAGCCTAAGATCCGAGAGAGGTATTGCAGGAGGTAGGGAGCAGCGATTTCGAGTACGAAAAATGCGTTTCGCTTTCGTCAAGCACGAAACCCTGCACCAAGTATCGAGCGCAGATACCGAAGCTGGGACGATAATGTTCTTTTTCGTTTAAGAGTCTCTATAATTCTTTAGTTTGACCAGACGTCTTTCTCTATTAATTTCTCTATGTCTCGTATACACAATTCTTATAGCTCATCCTGATCAATTATCCCATCAACCAGCTAGGCGATCTTTAGTTCAAGCCCTGGAGGAATTGAGCGCCTTTCTCTCTTTACGAGCTTTAAACCAAGCAGAAGTATCTCCCATTGGGACTGGAAATGGCAGTACGTCTTGGCAAAGGTAATAAGCAACAGTGTAAAAGCCGAGCAGACCTGCGATGAAGCCAAACACTCCTGCAGCGTGCATCAACGCCTTGCTTTGTGCAGCATTACCATCCGCGGAAGCAAAGTAAGATGAGGCGTCAAATATAAGACATAACTCAATGCAAATAAAAATGCAGGTATAAACAAGATTGCTGGTGTGCAATTAGCAGGGGGTATGAGGCAATGGTAGACATACTTACAGCTGGATAGAAGCGATGAGAAAGAAGACATTGAACACTGCCCATATCAACACAAAGAATCCAAGTGCATTATTGTATTGAGGCGTGTTGGCTCCTCCGTAAGCATCGATAATGCCCCATGAAGGGAGTAGTGTTGCACCGTAGCCTCCATAAAAGAGAGCTTGATTGTGTTAGCATTACCTCACTACCGCCTTGGAGATATGGCTCCCAGCTTACCAAAGGCTGTTAGAACAGTATATGAGAAGGTATCGCCCTTGAGCATTGACCATTGAGCAGAGATAAGTAACCCAATACAGGCAACAAAACACAGGTCTCCGATAAATTGAGTCTGTAAGGAGATACCTCGGAACTCCATCATCGCTAACGAAACTGACAACAAGGTTGTAGCAAAGCCGCCCATGGCAAGAGGAGCCTGATCCTTGTTAGCTGTCTGCGTGACCCAGCACCAAATTGCCATACCGGATTGCCTATCCTGTCTCCCAGTGGCTTATAGTTCTCGGAGACGAGAATCTTCTCATCGTGTTTCATGGAGGGTACTGAGTGTGCAGTCATGGTTGAGATTTGGACGTCGGTCGAATGATTCTATTCAAGATCTCACTGCATATATTCGAGTTTCTGTAAACAGAAGGAAAATATCTTGTCGACGATCAAATCGAAGCGAATGCCAAAGCTAATAGCTTGTATGAAGGGAAATGAGCGAGTTTGGAAAGATGTGGCTAGTATAAAACGTAGAAGGGGGTGCACACTGCAGGATGAAGCTGTGCGGGTATATATAAGCAAGCAAGTCTCTTGCATCAACCCTGGTGTCTCATCGAGTGGCCCTCGGGATAACTAGGCCAGCCTATGCAAGACCAATGGATCCTGTGGAGTAGTCTTTGAGTTAATCGAGTCTAGAACATGGGGCAACGCAGATTCACGGGCTACTAAGTAGGCTGTAGAACATTCGTGGTGCACGGCATTATTCGAGGCTCTTTGTAAGGCTATGACAGTGAGACGCATTCTGAGTAGACCGATTAAGGACATAACGGTTTCAAAGAATGTCCAAGCTTACGCATCTGTATAGTATCTAGAATTCCTCTGCATTTCATTAACTGCAAGCCATGCTTTGTATGCCTGCACCTCATTCCTTCAGGTCAAATCTCGACATCCTAAAAGATCCGCACTTTAGCTTAGTCCTCCGAACGCACGAACCGAGGATTAAATCAGTATCAGCTTAATGACACACAGAAACGACCAGTGATGCGGCTGTTATCGGAATTTCGGAATCGCGATATAATTCATACGTGTGAGTCTGACTTACAAAACATCCGAACTCGGCTTCCATACGCTAGTGCCCGGTTACTGACCCCAGAATCCGGAACATTTGTGCGACGGACAAGCTTGTTTTAGTAAGGTCCACAGACATTGGATCAATCTACTACGTAAAATGGTATCAATCTAGTCCCGTTAGGAGCATACGGCTCAGTCTAGAATCGGTTTGCCCCAGACCTTGTCTTCTTCTGGGCCGGGATAAACCGCTATTATGGGGAAAAATAAGGTGGTCGTTGTTTTAGCCTTTTTCAACGAGCTGTCGGCTAAACTTTCCAAAACGAGCGATAAAAAGTACTAGATCAAATATGTGGTTGAATATCTCTGATCAATGACATTAAAAGCACAAGATGCTGTATCGATATGTCTGGTTCGAAGCCACATGGGACACTGGGCAACTATTGAGTGTCCAAGTCAAGTACACAAATTGCCCGTTCCAGCAATCAAATCACCATGAGTTAACATGAAAATTTTATTTGATACAGTTGAAGGATATTACAATATGCTAAGAGAAACAAGACATAAACCATATAAGCCACAAACTCGACGAATCTGGATTCTTCATTAACAAAAGAACAAGCTGGTCAAGCAGATAAGGGCATAAACAGCCAGACAAAACTTCAGGGAAAAGTAATATTGACTTCCAACGTATACTAATATACCAGGAAACCCTTAAGTTGAATCATGAACTTATAGGAGATCAACACTACCTTATGTCACAGTTCTCACAGCCAGCACTTGTCGTCACAACCTTGCCGAACGCCTTGCGCTTTACATATGAGCCTAAAAGTCTAGAACAACGACTTTAGGAGCACTGGCATGGCATAGCCTCAGCCCATTATGTTCTAGCCCTGCACCTATTGGTTGGGATTCAGCCTCAAGCCACAAGTCTAAAGGCCTCCGATCAATGATCCGTTAGAAAAAGGAGCTTCATTCTTACGCTACGTCATTCTTTAAACTAATGAGAACGTTTCAATCGCTTTGAAATATAGGTGTTATCGCTTTTCAAAGATCATCGCTATATGGCACCTCCTTTCTCCCCTCTATTATACTTATCCAGGTCAGCAACAACGAGCACACAATATGAAGAAAAATTCTGCCTTGATCTATATACGTGCTCCAAATCTCGACTACGAGCCTAACAAGGCAATTCGTCTTGGCCATATTTGGAAACATCCAATGGATCCCGGCTCGTTCTGTGGACCGCCTCTCCCCATTCCAGAAGACATGGAAACCAACTATACCTTCAAAGCCCCTTGGTATATCGGCAAAGGTAGAGCAAACAGTGGATCATTGGGTATTTGGGCCAGTTTCCTCCAGGCTGTGGGAGTTACAGCAGAATCCAATTTTGATTGGAACAACGCCAAGGATGTGTCTCACACATGCGAGAGACTGGACACGTACTCCATAGAGCCAACGGACGATTATGTCAAAGAGAGTGTCAAAGCCGTGGCTTCTGAGGCTGTCAGGCGCAGGGAACGTCTGTTCATGGTGACAGGCGTCAAGATAGCACGTGGTGCAGTTGGCTCTATCTCCTCCTCAAGGCGTGTTGGGGGCGGTGCAAGAGTTGGGTTCGGTGGTGAAAGCTTAGGCGTGCCATTCGATGGCGGACCGCAGTTCAACATATCCAGGGATATCTACGACGAAGAAACATATGGCGAATCGTCAGATTTTGTCTTTGCATATCGTGTCCGCCGGATCATTTATCCTAAAGGAGGTTGGGAATCGACGCACGCGGGTTCCAGTATTGTGAATTATGGACTACATGAAGTAGACGCGGGAGTGTCTGTTTCGATTGGATCGAGGGCTTCGCCTTTCAACTCGAGGTTCGAGTTTTTTGAGGGCGATGAGGCTGAGATACCAGGTCCTCTGCTGGTCGGTTACCCATCGACATGGCAAGAAGTATGCGAGAGAGAGGGGAAAGGCAGTATGCAAGACGGAAGAGCCAAACACGAAGTTGTAGTATCTCCGGAAGTTGGCCACTTTTCTGTGTCTTCAGGGGCAAGAGTTGACGTTTCTTCAGAAATCGATGGGTTTATACTTGGGGATGATCGTTTCGCATTGGAAGAGTTCGGGCATCAGGCCAACTTAATACCTTTTGTTGATGACAGTTGTGAAGACGGTCTGTTTATATGTTTTCGCACATGAACTGTACCAGTCCTTCTTATATATTAAATCTCAAGTAGTTACAACTTCCCAACAGCTGATATTTAAAGTTAGTTAAAAATTTAAAATATATTTCTGGTGACATTAACTAAGATAGATAAGTTAAGTAAAAAAACCTCAAATAGTTTCATAACTTAGAATGTAAAGGCAATCAATCTACGCACGCAAAAAGGATAAATGCTAACAGTCTCCGGTACAGGGAATCGAACNNAGCCACTACACCATACCGGATTAACTTTTCGGTTTGCAATTGAAACCTAGATCGGTGTGAGCGTAACCGGTGCCTATCCTCCGTCGATTTCCGACGGCTTGCGGGGTTTTCTCTCCATCTTTACTACCACTTGTTTACTGATAATGACTGACAAAAGAACACGTGAGGACTCGGCAACTGGTTCAATTGGAGCTCAGGAATCAGTATCAGTTACTCCGGTCGAAAATGAACCCTCCAAGAAGCGACGTCGTCGGATTCTCTCTTGTGACGCTTGCCGCCGACTAAAATGCAGATGCGAGCTGGACTTTGGCTCGGACACTTGCTCAAGATGTCGAAACTTGAGAATACCCTGCCTTAGAAGCGATAGCTTGGATCAGTCGTATGGAACACAAGAAACGGCCCATCAGCAAGATCTTGTGAAAAGGTACTAATGACTCGGTTCAGCCAACATCTCTCCTAACCTTGGATAGTTTACATCAGAAGGTACTGCATTTGGAAAGCTCCATGCAAGATATAAGAGCCCAGCTAGTAAAGCTCCAATCAGGACGCGATTCAGCACATCAAAGTGTCATCGAACAAAGTGCTTCTCCTCAAGCATCGACAAACAGTCGTGTGTTGATGGATGAGATCGAGCCCGCAGATCAACATGTTCATGCTGCTCCAGCTGAAGTTATCCGGCGTGTCGCCTGCCAGGTGACTGGTGACTTGAGAAGAGCTTTCCACACAAAAGAGGATGTTGTACGCATGGGTATGCTTAATGCCACAACCGCTGAGACCCTTGTCAAATCGTAAGAGGTCCCCGTCTCCCATCAAGGCTCGGGATCCTACTGATACCAGCCTAAAGCTTCATTCGACGACGTCGCCACGTTCTGTTTATAAATGATGAGAGCGATCTGGTAACTAGAGGCTCTTTGATTCAAACATCACCATTTCTTCATGCCGTGTTGTGCTCGCACGAGATGAGGTTTACCCACACGAGCCAGACAGATGCCTTGAAGCACAGGCAAGTCTACGAGCATATGCGAAACATGCTTGGTCAGGTAGTGCTGGGTAGCCCTTTGCATCTTGAGGAAATTACTGGCGTTCTCATTTGTTCTCTTTTCGCCGGATCACCATCGGTAATGTCTCCAGTGCGGTCCGAACGTATCTTTACTGATAGATCTAGTGCGAGGCTGAATATGTCGATAGCTGGCTTCTGAGTGGCATTTGTTCGCAGCAGGCGATGCTATGCATTCAATTTTCAGATATTCATCAGCGAACCAATGCCGGGACTTCCACAAAGCTGGATCTTCGATCAATGAGAATCTGGGCAAACATATGCTTAAACCATCTGCAGTAAGTAAACCTCATAGCTTTGTTTGTGAAAAGCCGGAAAGCTGATAGTAGTTTCAAAAGCTGGTCAGCTACTACAGGCAGACCATCCATATTACCTAGCTCGTACTTCAGCCAGTGCAGGAATCTACTCAATTTTGAGCAGACCACAATGCGCGATGCGATGCTGCTTGCTGAGATCTCGCTTTACTGTACACTCCAGAAAGAAGACTGCGTTAAACCTACCTTCGCAAACGATGGTTTCAGCTCCAAATTTGCAATTTGGAAGCAGCAATATGGATACCTCCTTGGTAAGCAATTCATGATATTCTATTAATACTCTGGGTGCTAATGGTTGCAAGATCTACCTACAGGTCTTATGCTGAAGTTCAGTTACTGTATTGCCAACGTCATCCTAGCAAAACGAACTCTGGATAGGGTTGAAGCAGATGCGTTGAATCTCGCCTCGTCGCTCTCGCCACAGACGTCTCGCAGTTCTACAGTGAATCTCCAAGACCCTTCCACAAAGTCCCTCCAAGGCCATGTATACGAACTCAGCTTCCGAGTCATACAGGCATTCATCGCTATCCCAAGTTCAAGCTCTGGAGATTTACCCGAATTTCACTCCCTCTGTGTTGCTTATGCCTTGCTCATTCTGGGTCAATATGATGAGCTGCCCCCAGCCGTAGCAAAAAACGAGCTCTATTCTGCCTTGCAAGAAATGAGGCGTCGCTGCAGTGAATCAAACGCGTATTCTGTGGCAGTTAGACTCAGTGTTGAACGAGCTTGGGACAATTTCTTGAGGGTAGATGGCGTTAATTCGGTCGAGGTTGTACGGCAAGAGTCGCAGTTTCATAGCCATGCTGCTCAGAGCACCAACGCCAACAAGGCATGTCACAATACTGGGGCTGGGGGTCAAGTTGAATCTCTTGATCTCGACTTCTTCTTCAATGGAGGCTACTTGGACCTGCTCGACGTCGACAACTTCCTCGTCTAGCATTCAGTTGAGAAACTCTTTTGCCTCGCTTTGAAATTATAGCTCTCAGGCTATGACTCGAAGGACTCTTCATCAGAGATTCCCTTTAATTCACTTTATATTCCAGTTTGAGCCGCATAACGTGTATTTCAACTACATTGGTTAGCTATCTAAAGTGTATTCCCATGACTGGAGTTTCCTCCTATAGGCATCAAGTGATATTACTTTTGAACAACAAACTTTTCAAAGAAATTATTTTTAATATTAAACTCTGACGAAAGATGCTCGACTTTATAATATTTGTGCTCATAAAAAATACATACATGACATTATTGACTAAATCGCTTCTTCATTCTCATAATCATAGGCGTCCAATAAAGCGCATCCAGCCTATCCCTTAAATGATGATTGAATCCATAAGTCACTGCATTCGCAAAGCCGATGAACTGTGTTGAGGTATTGAGAGCAGCAATTGTTGTATCTGATACTGGCGTTTGAAGCGCTTCCAGAAGTCGATTTGTAAGTCCCGGAATCCAGAGAAGAACGTACATAACCGGATACCCATTCAATAACATCATCCGCTTGATTTCGACTTCAACATCGTGTGTGGCCCGGCGTTGAGGGAATTCGCTGACGTTGGTTTGTAATACATTGATCTGGTGCTGCGGAGTCGGTAATGCTTCGGTTGGTTCAGAGTTAGCAAGTCCTGCATAGGCCATCTCTTCTCCCCTTCTTGACGACGTTGGCCGATGACGGATAGACTCTCCCCTTGCTCTGCTATTGCTAGCCTCACTCTCACCTTTTCTTTCCATATCCTCGATTTCGTCTATCTTATGCCCTCGCTCAATTATGGGCGAAATGGGTGTATCAATGTTCCCATATCTCGTCTTGAAAGTATCCAGCTCGATTTCGTCCTCTTGAATAACTTGGAATCCCGCGTCCTTGGAGCCTTTAGAAAAGAGTGTGTTGGTATTGTGCGTCGAGAAAGTTAGAGGCTGCCGAGGTTGCTTTTGTTTTGAGCCCAGATGTCTTCTTAGGTAAATCCAGATGTAGATGTAGATAACAATAGTAGTGAAAATAACGAAGAAGCGCCAACCATGCGTCATACCATAGCGTAAATCTGGCCGGGTTGCTGATATCCAACACCAGTTCCCGCCCACTGGCTTCATCTCACCCGCAGCAGTCGGTATGATACTTGTGATGAGAGGCAATGTCCATACTGCCGCACAAATTAATGCTCTTTTCGTTCTTGAAGTTTTCGGTATGTACAACATCCTCTTCACAGTGAGCAGGGTTGTAACCGAAATAGCCAGGACTGAAAAGTCAGCTGCTGAAACAGACAACTGGCCGATAAACCCGTTGACGACGCATGGTATCCCAGCTTGGAGCTGCCCAGTCTTGAGGAATATGCTGCCTGATATTGAGTTGTTGAGAGTGTTGATGAACTCTAAGAAAGAGTATTAGATTTCTAGTCGACAATAGCATAAGATATGCGCACCTGCAACCATAAGATTTAACACGAGGACGTGTCGAAAGTTTCGGAGATGCCGACGATATATGACGAACGAGATAAGTACACATGTCGTGGCAACGCAAGATAACAGGCTTCCAGCCAGTGTCACGGATGAGATGAGTTTATCGACTTTGCCAGTCATATTGGCCGGAACTTGCAGTCATAGTAAAGGTAGCCGCCGTTGAGGAGAGCAGGTTTGAAAGGGTATGATTCAGGTATTATATCGCCTCCTTGTTTCCTGTTGAAATACCCACTCGTATTTCAAACAAGGGTTTGGCCCCTTGTTCTTCGGTATGGGTCTTGGCATTCCGTGAAGCTTATTTCCCCACACCAAGAAGCATGGTATTCATGGGGATGTTTAAAGCCTTTAGTACTATTACGTTATCTCTGGTATGTCGACATGCTATGTATTAGAAGGTTCAAGAGTGCCAAGTGAGGTGGCTCGTACAGTCTGGGACCAGAGCGTCTTGAAGCGTTCAAAATAGAGTTTAATCGTGCTACAAATACCCAGCAAGCGAGTTTGAGAAAGTCCAGGATATACTTGACTATATTTATTCCGTGCACTATACAAGGTTTGCACGGTCTATCGATACTACCATTCTCAGAATCTCCTCCGAAAATCCTAACTGCTTCGAGTTGTGACACAAGGTTGACTCTTATAGCGTCGGTAGCTGGAGTCTTCCGGGCTAGCATTGCCTTACGAGGCAACTTGAGATGGAGTAATATGCAAGGGTAATACTCGCATTGTTAGAAGCGAGCCTCGGCGTCGCCGATCTATACGAGCACCGTTAGACATCAGATGAAACCAGGTCCTCATAGCGGTCGAGGACCTGGGGTCCTTAGTCTAGGGGGCGGAAATAAAATAAATGACGAGCTTTCCTAAATCTATCTTCAATTATCATGAACTTGACTATGTGTTCCATGACTACCACTTGAGATTGAATTCTTGAGTTGCGTCCCAACCCCCAGTTAGGCTAAGCGAAGTCCTTCATTAGATGATGTCTCCAACTTGATACTTCCTGTTATGGTATCTTTTGGCAATTCTCCTCGTCTCTAACCATATAGCTCTCGTGCCACCTCATAGGAGTTTATGTACTCAATGCCCTGTTTCCGCCAGGTATCATCCTCAACCCAGTTCTTCGTGGCATTGAACACCATATTCTTAGGCTTTGACTTGCTGTACTTTGGCCATTTTGGAAGCGACCCCTTCTTGGAATTAGGATCCAGACTGTTGACGAACCTTACATAAGCCTGTCCAATAGTGTTGGCCAGCACAGCGTGACTATCGTACTGCGGACTTGGACCTAGCAGCCCAGATATGTTCTGGAAGCTAAATGCAACATTATCGAAATGCTTCACACCATCCCACTCAGCTCTCAGGTATGGTCTTTGATCGAAACGGTAGGAGTATACATCTTCAGATTGTGCATATAGTTCTGCGAGCTTCCTGCGCCCTGAGATCATAGTTATGTCGGCGCCGATAGCACAGGCACGTCGTCCTTGATAGTTTCCATCTTGCCTTGAACAATTTGTAATGGCATAGGGAGGTTGATGGCATGGGTCGTCAGGATAAAGTTCCATGAGCTTTCGGATTTTCGGGGCGCTCAGAGCGTAGTTCCGCCACCGAAAAGCTTCGTAGAAGAGATCTTGATCCGTGTTGACTTTTCCGATACAGAAGCCTTCGTCAGTGTTTGCTCCAATTATCATAGGCACGGTGTGGTAGTTCTTCTCGCGGATGAGCTGGCTGGGGTAACCGGTCAAGAAAGTGCCGTCGATCAGAGGGTTGAACGTCAATGAAGGGCGCACAGCATATAGCGACTTCTCATCCAGGTCTCGAAGACATGCAAGTTGATCCTTTTTGTCCCAGCACCCGACAGTCCTTGTGAGATTTTCAAAAGCGACATTGTAGTAACTGAGATCATGAATCTAGTCAAGGTCAATCGGCAAACTCAAAAACAGCAGTGTTGAAAGTTCATACCTGTGCGCCCGTGACGCCTCCTGATTCAAGGATAGCTCCCCGATAGAGTCCGTCATCTCGACCATCGTAACTAAACATCTGATACGCTATGCTTTGAGCTCCAGCGCTCTCACCCCACACAACAACTCGTTCTGGGTCACCTCCAAAAGCTTCAATGTTCTCTTGGATCCAACGCAGTGCAAGTCGTTGGTCTAGAAGGCCAGCATTGGCGTTCCCTTCCTTCAGAAGGTTGAAATTCTGGAGAAACCCCCACATCCCTGCACGTCAGAGCGTTAGTAGTGGTGCTTCAAGCGGAACCCGGACGTACCCAATCTGTAATTGAAGCTTACTGCTAAGATAGGCTCTTTGATGTCTTGGCTGACTTTGACAATCCCACTGAGGTTGTATTGTGGGTCGGCAGAGCTGCCAGCATATAAACCACCGCCATAAATCCAAACTCTGTGTTCTTGCTATCAGTCTTGAGGAAGTGTTTGTTATTCGGGGAACGTACAGGACTGGTAGGAGTTTCTTTGGTTTTCCAGCTGGTCGAATAACATTCAGAGAAAGGCAGTCCTCTGACATGGTCCAGTTCTGAGTGTACTGCATGCAACTGTCTCCATATTCAGTGGCTGCGCGTTCCTCTGTGAAAGAACTGTCCAAGCTTTGAGGCCACTTGAACCGTAAATTCCCAACAGGGGGCTGAGCGTAAGGAATACCTAGGAAGGCGTCTTGATCCCAGCCCGGTAAGTTCTTGCCAACGTATGTTCCGTTCAATGTTGTGGCTTTAGGAGAAGCTGCACTTGTCGTCCAAGCCAACGCAGTCAGAAGGAAGAAATATATTGACTTCATATTGAGGCGTGCCACTTTGGCTAGCGGGTATTCGCGACTATGATATCTCTCTTGACTTCCATAATACCAAGACTTGAGCATCAGACGTCTTATAAGTCAGTCAAGCATATTGTTCTCAGACCTTGCACTACTACTCAAGCTAGGGGGCATGTCTCTTATTTCCACGGCCACAAGGTTTCCACCAAGGATAATCTAGGAAATTGTTATCTATTCTATGCAGTGTCGTAGCTCTGACGGGGTATGAGATTAATTTCACTATTCCCCGCGTTGCTAGCCCCAGGAAAGGATGTCGATCTGGGGTGATTGAGTTGTGGGGTGCGGAGCAACCCCGAGGGTAAGGAGACTCAGATCCTTGTTTAGATTGATTATTTCGATTTAAAGCCATTCGGATCAGGAATTCTGGAGTGTCTCGAGCCTTTGCAACAAGGGAGGCTTCTGAGCATAATAGACAGACTAGATGGGGCGTCAACAAGCAAAGAGATACAAAGTGATTAAACTCGAGAAATCTCTGGCCAGAACACGCTTGATACAAATGATCTTGTTCCTTGGCACTAATGCTACTATCGCCTTTAGGCAAATATCATACTTGACGCAGTAGACCACTGTACGCTTGTCGACTAACATGACCCTTGCACTTGAAATTTAGCCCCGGGATATTCTTTTACCACCAATCAGATTTCACTTTGTGACTCGTTCAATATC